GGCTTACTCTAGGGGTCTGTAAACATTTTTTCTTTTTTCCCCCTTGGTACTAGGAATTGATCAACCCGGGGCTACACACCAAGTCCTTTTTATTTTATTTATTTTTTCCTTTGAGAAAGGGTCTTGCTATGCAGTTCAGGCTGGCCTTGAGCTCAGTCTGTAGCCAATGGTGGCCTCAAACTTGCAATGATCCTCCTGCCTCAGCCTCCCAAACTCTGGGATTACCTTTGTAAGTTTCTAGACAGGGTCTCACCAAGTAGCCCAGGCTGGCCTAAACTTGTGCTCCTCCTGCATCAGCTTCCTGAGAATCCACTATGGTCGGCTGTAAATCTCTCTGAACAGGGCCAGATGGCGTATATTTTAGGCTTTGCAGTCTGTGTCACAGCTCCTCAGTTTTGCTTCTGTATTGGATAAACAGACAATATGTAAGTGAGTAAGAATAGCCATGTCCCAGTAAGTCTTTACAAAAAGGGGTGGCAAGCCAGATGTGGTGGCACCTGCCTGTAATCCCAGCTATTTAAGAGGCTGAGGCAAAAGGATAGGAAATTCAAGATCAGTTTGTACATAGGGTCGGCCAGATAACTCAGCGGACTAAAGTGCCTGCTTAGGCAGGCACAAGGACCAGGCTTCGATCTCCAGTGTGCCATGCTGACCCGCCCCTGGGCTGCTCTGAGAGATTGCGTGTGATGGCACATGCTATAATCCCAGCGCTCGGGAAGCTGAAGACAGGAGGATCATTACGAGTCTGAGCTATATAGTGAGACCCTGTAGACCTTGTACTAAAATACATTTTTTAAAAAAAATCAGTTTGTACAGCCAGGCAAGGTGGTGCAGACCTGTAATTCCAGCACTTTGGGTGGACTCTCTCAAAATTTAAAAGTAAAAGGTCTGGGGAGGTAGCTCAGTGGTAGAGTGCTTGCCTAACATGTATAAGTTCCTGAGTTCAATCTCCAGTATAGTAAAAATAAAAATTGAAAGGGCCGTGTATGTAGCTAGGTGGTAGAGCACTTGCTTAGCATGTACCAAGCCTGGGCTCAATCCCCACAACACAAGCAAATCCTCAGGTGAGAATTCATGTCCAAGCCATTTGTTAGATAAAAGCTCCTTGGAGAAATTGATGAATGGGGAGGATCAGGCACAGGGAAGAAGCTAGGGGACATTTCCCTGAGGATAATTTCAATCTGAAGAGTTGCAGATGTAAACTGGTAGGTGAGAACACACCAAAACATAAGGACATACAAAAATTGTGAACAGGGCTTTGAGCGAATCTTGTCAGAGGACACACAGTATCTGTTATCATCATGGAGCAATAGTGAAGTAAGGGTGCCCTGCACCTCCAGAGCTTATTCACTTATTTATGTATTTATTTGGTATAGGGTCTCGCTATGCAGCTCAGACTTAGGCAGGCACAGGGACCAGGGTTCGACCCCCAGTGTGCCGTGCTGACCCGGCCCTGAGGTGCGCTGAGACGAGGCATGGTGGTACATGCCTGTAATACCAGCGCTTGGGAAGCTGAAAACAGGAGGATCATTACGAGTCTGATCTACATAATGAGACCTTATAGACCTTGTACTAAAATATATTAAAAAAAAAAATCAGTTTGTACAGCCAGGCATGGTGGTGCAGACCTGTAATTCCAGCACTTTGAGAGGATTCTCCTTTCTCAGCCTTCCCAGGGCTGGGATTACTGGCATGTGCCACCATGCCCAATTTCAGTGGCCAGCACACCATGACTGGGGTTCCAGGGCTGGCACAGTATGTGATGCTGGGGATTGAGCCCGGGTCCTTGTGCTTGCCAGGCAGGCGCTTAGATAACCCTGCTATCTCCCCAGCCCACGCTTTGCTTTTGTTTTAAGCAGTTTGGCTATGTAGTTCAGGCTGGCCTTGATCTCACTAACCTTACAAGCCTAAGGTTGCTTGTAACTCATACCAGTCCTCCTGCCTCAGCCTTCTGAGTGCCTTGATTGCTGGCCTGCATCACTATGCTGGCTCCAGAGCTTCTAGTTCTTCCGCTATACAGTGTGCAGATAGGTGGAGAGGGACCAGGAACTCTGTTGGGATGGGTCATGACGGC